GGGGGTGGAGGTGGCGGTGGCATTGGCTTGGCCTCGACTTTCTCCAGAACCTCGTCCTCCACGATCTTAATGGTCGCTTTGGCATCGTCCGGTAAACTGCCAGAGGCCACCAATTGCTCCAACCTCTTCCTCTCCGATTTTTCGTTGTTTATCTGGCGTGACAGGGTCTCGAGGTTGTCTTGCAATTCCGAGATCCTCTGCTTGGTCTCTATGTGCATCGACGTCTCTTTCTCGAGCCGTTCTTTCACCCTCGCCAAGCTGGCCTCGATGTCTTCCTAGAAAGTCAGGAATCGGCGTCGCGGATGAGAAGAAGAGCGGTGAACCGCCATCTCGATTTGGGCAAGACAACGAGCGATAATTACTTTCTCCTGCGTTCTCAGATCCAACTCCTGTTCCTTCTTGGCCAATCTTGTCGACATGTCCGAGTTTTCTCGCTCCAACTCCTCGGCCTTCTTCCTAGCCGCGACGAGTTCTTCTTCCTTAGCGAGCAGGTGGACGATCTCCTTCACGTTGATCTCGATCGGCGCCACATCGGGATTCCTCGTCACACCTGTGTCGTTACCCTCCGACTGAAGAACGATCTGTTGCACGATCCGGTCGAACAACAGCCAATGTTGAGGATGAGAGCCATAATCGACTGAAAACAAAACCGTGAATTAAATTTTCTCTCTCTCTCTCTCTCTCTCCCTCTTTCTTTCTAAGAGTACGAAGATATCTCACGAGGCAATAAAAGGCAATGTTCGAGAAGACTCAATAGGTGAGGATACGCCGCAGTGTGGCTGAGCTTCCTTCTCAACAGATCGAACATCGCCGTGGCGCTCTTCGTGTCCACGTGCTCCTTCTCGAACTTCCTGGCCAACTCTTTCTCGTCCTCGTTCCTCACCATCTCGAAGAAATCCAGATGTCTGTCCAACGTCTCGTTCTCGTACTTCCTCAGCTTCTCGATGATCGGCTGTATACCAAGCATCAGCAACTCGTATCTCAGGTGCAGCCTAAACTCCAACGTCACCTGACCTGGCCCATAATTCAGCACCGCATTGATGAACGACATAATTGCTGTTTTTAGAGACAGATTGTCCTTGTAGATGCCGAAATTCTTGTCCAAGTCGTTTATAATACTTTGGAAACGCGTTCTTTCCGAGTGATACTGCTGGAAATGGAGCATTGCTTCGAGGACCTTCCGATGACCACCTGGGACCAGGCACACTGCGCCCAGAATTTCCAACACGGATATCTTCGTCTTAATGTTTTCAGTCGCCAGCGACTGAGATATCGTGTTAATGGCGGTAGGATGGGCCAATACGTGCGCTCTTCCGTTCTGTAAACCAGTTTTATTCGATTAGAAAACCTAAAATTCTTCCACAAGGGACAAGATCGTCGTCGGTTTCATCACCGAATTATTCATCAACGCCTTCAAACATCCTATCACGCTCGTGTGCAGATTGCTGTTCGCTGCTTCCGCGTCCATTGTTCCAAGAACTTGCAACAGAGCGTTCAATCCATCCAGCTCTATGAATCTGAGGACAAAACTATGCGGCTGCGTTCTCAGAGCGGTCTTCAGGGCTTCGGTCTGGCGCATTTGATTAGACACTTCCTCGCCCTCTTCCGGAAAAGGACTCTGAAAATTAATAATTACAATAAGCACGAGTGAAATTCATATCCATAAAACGATCGATATATATATATTTGCTTTCTACTCACGCTAGCTATCGTCCTCAGCCTGTTGATGTAATCTTCCGGATCCCCGCTCAGGTCGGTGGTCCTGAGCCCACCGTTCTCCAGCGTGCCGTTGCCTTTTCTGGAGCAGTATATCTGCCACTTTTTGTTGGCCGGAAGTGCCAGAACCGCCTGCCGGTTGGCCTGGGTCAGGTCCAACTCGTCCACCAATTCGAGGAACATCTTGTTCAATTCCTCCTCGGCGGGCATCGGCAGGGTGGGCGTCATCGCTTGAAGCGTGAGCGTACCCGTGTGCTCCACAACGCAATACGTGATTTCCGGTGGCTCGTCATCCTGGCCAACAAATAAAATCGTGTTTTCAACCATTGCTTTCGCGGATAATCATTCGGACTTTTCTGCGGGCTTGTTTTTTCCTTTTCTTTTTTTTTTTATCTTTCTTTCTTTGCGGGATACGAGAAGAGGCTGTTATGAGGATGATGATGATGATGATGATGATGATGATGGTGAAGATGATGATGATGATGATGGTGATGATGATGAAAGAGGCAATAAAACGTGGAAACGATTGTTGCTTCGTTCGTCGTTAAACGTGAGGGAATTTCACGGGTTATGTTACTTGAACGATCGTCGTTGGAAACGTTGAAAAAGGTTTGAAAAAAATCGAATCGAGTTCGCTTCGCTCGAGCATCTCTTTATTTTCGATTTTCTTCGAAAAGTCAATTGGGAACGAAGACGATCGAGGGTATGTAACCAGGTCTTGACCTTATTGAAGACGAGCCTCGGCATTAAATCCGTTCGAGTCGGCCGGTCGTAGAGCGAACCAACTTTACACGTGTACAGTGCGTGCAATTGACGATCATCGAGCAAGACATCTCGTTCGTATAATTTGAATTTCGATTAAAACTTTTTTTTTATCGCGATACGAAAGTAGCAGTAGCCTGAAAATTCGATGAACATATTAAATTACACGGTTTATTTCAATAACTTCAAGTTCAACTTTAGAATTCGCGATCCTCGAAAGGATCGTCAATGTCTCGCACTGTACCATTCTCCTCGACCTCTCTTTCTCTCTCTCTCTCTCTCTCTCTTTCTTTTTCTCTCTCTCTCTTTCTTTTTCTCTCTCTCTCGCTCGGCTCAGAAGCAGCGGCAGCAAAGGTCAGGGGACCGGCTCGGGCACTGGATTCCTAAGGTACTTTCACACGTGACTAGGAAATTACCTATTCACGTACCGGTCCGCCGATTTATTCTTCGCAAACATCCTACGTCCCAACAAACGCGCACGCCGTTTGGAATATCTATCATTAGCCGTGCAACTTTGTGCGAGCTTTCAGCTTACGCGACGGCGATTTCTCGATCTATAATTGCTTGCCTGTTATCATCGAACCGAGGCGATAGGAAGAATTGTGTCGAGATAATATCCGACGCGAGTAAATGTTAACAGCTTTGATAGCGTATTGACGAGCGCGTCATAGGACTATCCACGCCGTTGTTTGCATAGCCAGTTCCGCATTGGTGTACGACTCAAGATAAATACTTACCTAACGATCGTAATTCCGATCGCTCGATACCTTATTCTCTTCTCTCAGTATACATTCATCCGTAAAGTAATATCGAGATAATATCGAGACGAAGAAAATATACAAATATTTTCGACTCGTTCTTTAGCTAATTAACGTAAAATAACGTGGAATATAGAAAATAACGCAAAAAGAGAAGCAAAAAGAGAAAAAGGAAAACGGAAGTCGAAGAATTTAAGAATTATCGAGGGATCAGCGTACTCGAAATTTCTCCTCGAAACTTCTCCTCTTAGAGAGCCAGCATCTCTGAATTCGTTCCAGGTTAACGCTCGCGGCGCGTTCACGCGCGAGGCCAGCACGTGAACGCGAAACAAGAGGAGACGCGATAAAGCGTGACACGCGACCGGCCTCCCGGCACGCACACGTGAGCCCCAGTAGAAAAAGGCGAAGGAGGTCAGCCAGTTTGGAGCTGGATTCGCGAGGTTTTACGCGGCTAGCCTCTCCTCCTCCCCTTCCTCCCCGTGCCTCTTTCTCTGGAACGGCCACGTTCCACGCAGGACGAAAGTCTATCCTCCGTGACGAATCTGTCGCGTAAATAACGCGGATAGATCCTCGGCCAAGAATCGAGGAGGCAATCTACCACTAGGATAAGGTTTCTCCTAAGCGACTCGCGCGGTGTTCACACGTGATTGGATTTATTGCATGGGAACCGCGGGGAAAACGCCATGTTCCACGGGGATAAACTTTTATTCCTTTATTACACGCGCCAACGGATTGTATGAAAAGGAAAAAAGAGAAATATCATTCAGGAGAGAAGAAAATTATTATTATACCAAGCAATACTGGTATATTGTTTGGAAAATTAATATATCAGAAGTTATTTAGAAAACTTGGACAAGTGTTGTGACAATTATCGAGTATGCAAAATTAAGATAAGATAAAATTCTAGTACAGTCATTTACCCGAGTTGACCTGAAAATTGATCGCTAAAAAAAAAAAAAAGAAACAGCAAACTCGACTTTGGACTCCCATTATTTGGATTCCCAATTATACAAATAATATAACGTTCGACGTGGAAATTACACACATTGAACATTTTATGTAGGTAAAAAAACACAAGTTGAAGCCGCGTGATGCGTGATGCGAACAACCACTGAATACCGTTTCGTTTACTACAGTTTCATATGCATATTTTTTTCTTTCTCTCTTTTTTTTTTTTTTTTTTTTTTTCTCCATCTACGTCTCTGTTGCGGCTTGATAACAGGCGTAATCCAAGGCAAGATCTCGGAAGCAACGTTATGTTAACTGTATAAAGTGACCCGATTTACTGCAACCATGTTATTCATCGGTTGCACGCGATGCGATTTATTCGTAATCGGCCTATACGGAACGAAAGCGAAATATCGAGTTGTGCACACGTTCGTGCCACAAACTCGTTTCGACGATAATTTTCCTTGCAATTTTCAAGGATCTAACCTTAGATGGAACCTTGGAATTTTAACATCTCGCCCTGTCTCGAATCAATTATAAATCGAGTGTAAC